CCCCGCCGCGCACGCGGGCGCGCGACGGACTGCTCACTGGCGCCGCCTACTCGCGGCACGGTGCCGTGAGAACAGGAGGCAATGTAGAAGGAGAGCAGCTGGAAGAAGTCGCCCTGAAGGCCGTGGACGCAGGCCAACATCTCGCCGACGAAGAAGGCGTCGCCGCCGAAGAAGACGCCGTGCCACCAGCCGAACACGGAACGGCAGCAAATCACGACATGGTCGATCATCGCGCCGCGTGCCACCCTGCGGGGTCGGCGCTGCTGGGGCACGTCGGGCACGAGGCGCCAGGCCCTTCTCGACGCGCCTGATCGCATCTAGCTGGTTGTGGCGCGTGGACTCGTTGGGCGAAAGCCCATCGCGCATCGAGCCCAGCTTCCGCGCTGCACGGACAGCACCCGCAGCGCAGTGAGACCCGCAGCGTCTGCAACAGTAGGCATTGTTGCCCCTGAACACGTCGTGCCCGAGCGCGGCGATGGCGCCCCCGACCGCCTCGGCCAGGGCAGGTGGCAACAAGGCAGCGGGGGTCGAGGGCTGTGGGCCCCCTTCGAGCGCCAAGGCCGCGCCCGGGGCCATGCCGGCCCTCTGGTCGCTACAGAGAACCCAGCCCTCGCCGAAGGCGCGGAAATACTCGGCGTCGAGAGCACAGGCAACACGCGCAGGGCGACATACACGATGAGAGCCAATTTGCAGCGACTCGATGGGGGGAGCCCGTCGCGGCCGCGACTCCGCATTGGGTGCGTCGGCACCGCCCGAGGCTGGCGCAGTAAACAAGGACATGGTCCGTACTGCGCGCCACCAATGGGCCTGGCCCGCTCGCCAGGCGGCCTGGGGACCTCCACGCCGCACCCCCGTTGTTTGCGAGCCACCACCTGCAGCGCCGCCCACGAAATTAACTGCAGGACCTTGCGGTGCTGTTTCAGCGCAGTTGTTACCGCCTCGGCTACCGACCTGGCCAGCGCGCGAGCGGCCGCACCACGCCGCGCGAAATAGTCTGCCCAGCCGTTGCCTAGCCAGTCACGCAGCTCCTGCGGCCCCGTGCACACAAGCCCCTCCAAGGACCTGTGCGCTGGCGTCCACCAGAACTTGGGAGGGCCCCGCAGAGTGCGCCTGCGGCTGGCCACGAAGATGTCCCGCCACGCTCTAGCATGCTTGGCGCGACGCTGCTCGAGCTCGGGGCACCAGCGATCTCCTTCCTGGGCGAGCGCCAGCAGGTCGGTGACGAAGCACTGGTGGTCAGGGAAAGCGTCGAGCCCCTCCCTGATCGCGTGCCCCTCAGCACGGCCGACAGTCTGCGCCAAAAACGGAAGGGGCCCGATGCGCGCCCTAACTGGAAGCCAAGAATAAGGATCAAACTGCACAACTGCTTGACCACACCTCCGCACCTCGGGAACACCTGAATCGTAACCAGACCCGTGGGTGTCAGAAACGGGGCCCCAAACGCCATGGGCGTCGCCCCGAAAGCAGACATCATGCCTCCGCGCATCTTCGCGTGGCAGAAAGGCGGGGCGCTCGGGCATGCCAAAGACGAGGTAGGACTGCTCGAAGTTCGGCGTGCCTTATCCAAGACCCGCTTGGATAAGTTGGTCGCGCACCTCAGCCAGGTCTTGGGGGAGGTGGAAGATACCGCGGCCATTCAGCGTTGGTGTTGCCGTCTCGGGCCCGCCATGCCCGCGCGGTGCACCGGGCGCCGAGGCTGAAGCCGCCGCCGCAGGGGACAACGGGTCACTCTGTTCCGAAGCAACCGGTGGCCCACAAAAGACACTCTGCGCGTCCAGCCGCGCCTTCTCCTGATGGCCGTCGCACCCGTCGGATGGCGCAAAGTCGACCTCTTCATCAACCCCTTGCCCGATGCCTGGAAAGAAGTCGTCCTCGGCCTCCATGGTGCTGGGCTGCTGGGCGCAGGTGTAGGACAGCAGGGTCGGGTCGGCCCGACTCTCGAGGTGGTCGCGAACCTGCCAGCGTAGGTCGCCGAAGCCCTGCTGTATTTCAGGACCTCTTTTTGGGGGCAAAAGGGTGCCTGAAATACCGCGCATGTTCTGCGCTTGTCGCAGGCCTTGGACATGGTCCGTCGGCCCCTGCCCCATGGGTCGCATCTGCCCCGCGGGGGGGGGGGGGGGGCGGTCAGCAGCGCGGGGCGTTCCAAGAAGACATGGCCCCAGCATTCATCGGGCGCAAGGGCCCTCCCGCAAGCCTGACAAGGGCGCATGGGCATGCCGAGCTTCATGTCCCCGCGGATCGGCATGGGCATGTTGTCAGACCATAGCGCCTGCAAGGCCCCCAGCTGCCTTGCGGCGCGGGCGCCCTTGACCGCGCACCTGAGCCCACGGTGCCAGATGGGCGCGCCAGCGTGGGAGGACATGTGGCTGGTGAGGCGGTCATGCTGCCAGCGCTGCACGCCTTGCACCAAGAACGGTCTTAGGTCAGCAGGGCGCACGCGGTGCAGGTCATACTGGTTGCCCAGGTCGTCCTGCAAAACGTGCGGCGCTTTCGTGCCCCAGGCTAGCTGCCTGAGCGTCAACCACGTCGCGGCCATGGGACCTTTGGCATTGGCCCAACTGATAGGGACATACCGCTCATGGGGCGCTGTCCACGCCCTTTGAAGGCGGCTAGGTGACGCGCGCCCATCCCAAATCCAGGCGGCGTAGTTCAAGACCAGTTCCAGCGTGGCATGATAGATGGGGTCGTGCTCCTCCGAAGGGTGAGCAAGGAGGTATGCCGTGACGCCCGCGTGGTGTCTGTCACTGCGCCCGTTTAGCACTGCGGCCAAGTTGCGCATCTCGCGCAGGGGCGCGTCCGCCAACCCCGACACTCCAGCGCCGTGCCCTGCGGCCGGCCTGGGCTCAGTTCGCCACAGGGTGGAGGCCTTGCGCCCTGCCGCGCGGCGCAGCGTGAAGAGTGGGTGCGCGCGCTCCCGCGCGACCTTCAGGCGCTTCTTCTCAACCTTCCTCAGCGCCCGAGGGCCATGGAGCTCATGGCCAAGGTTTTGCATGTTTCGGGCTTGGGGCAACGCCCGAGGCATCCGCCGCTGGACCATGTGCACCACAAGGCGGACCTGCGCTGACCCAGCCGCCACCGCGGACTTAGCAGGTTGGAGAACAAGCCCGAGGTCCCTGGCCTCAGCAGCGAGCACCATCGCAGTGCGCAGCAGCAGCTTGACATCACCGAGGTCGGGGAAGACCATCTGCAGGCCAATGTCGTCCACCAACGAAGGTGGCTTGATGGTCGGCGCAACCCTGTTGGCGCGCTGGAGGACACGGTACGTCAGCAGGTAGATGAGGTAGGTGGCATGTGCGCACCCCGCCAGTACCCCCTGAATAGCGAAAAAGGAGCACGAGAGGCTGCCGTACGCCTTGGCGCGCCGTGGCTGCTGGTAGAGCTGCAGCAACACCCAGTGCAGGCGCATCGGGCAACCCAGCTCCCGTGCCTCCCGCATGAGCCCATGGGGACTCACCATGTGCAAGCACTTCCCATCTCTAGGAGGTTGGCACAAGTGTGGTCGCCGATGGGGCTTCCCACCTCTTGCTCCAGATTGTGAGCGAAAGCCGAGGCCGTGGAGGTGTGGCTGCCTCGAGTACCTCACATCTCGTCGCAATTATGCTGTCGTTGCCACTCTGCCGACAGCCGCCGGCTTGCTTTCGCCCAAACTCGTATGAGAGCATGGCTAAGCACAATCAGCCTGTGGCCACCACCAGGCTTAGGGAGACGGACCATCTCACAATACAAGCGGTCTGAGGGAAACCGTAAGTGCTGCTCAAACCTCGAACACCCGGGCCAACCTCCTGAGAGCCTCACCCGGCAAGTGCTCCAGCGCCGTCGGTGGAACGCGGGTGGGCCCCGAGGCGGTGACGAGAGGGAACGATCGGATGGCCTGCCGTAGGTCATGGACCGTCAGGCTAGGCAGCTCCTCCCAAATAGGTGCATCCGCGGGTAGAGGCAGCACTTCCAGCCCATGGGTCGCCCAGATCCGCTTCCACGTCCATGGCGCGGTCCGCGAGGATGCATGGCTGGGCGTCGGCCTCAGGAGCAACGAGTTCTTGCTGCGCCCTGACCTTGGATGCCGCATGGGCAGCCTTCGCTCCCCCATTGGAGGCCACCTGAGCCCAGCTGCGCCAGGCTCTCTCCGACGCGCCGCGAGCCGCAGCAGTGAGGTCCTCCGCGCGGCCCACGATGGCATCTACCACGTCATCAAAGTCCTCCGCAGTCATCCCGTCCAGCCAGCGCAGGAAGAACTGGCGGTAGCAGGGGTCGATGTTGGTGAGGATTTTGCCCTGCCCGACAATGGGGCCCAGGAAGCAGACGATGTCGTAGAAGACGCTGGCCGTCTTCTGCAGCTGCCTGGGAGCTGGAGACGCATGCGCCGCCACCGCCTTCAACCAGTGACAATAACGCTGGACCCGATCACGCTCAGCACGAAGGTGAGTCGCCCAGCGTGCCGCAGTAGCCCTAGCCCAGACTGCGGTGTCGTGGCACAGCCGTTTGCGATGGGGCCCCCACCGCAACTGCCGCCACTTCACCTTGGGGGGGCCGCGGTGCCCGACGAAGCGGTTGGCTCCAGGGCCAACTTTGTCGCGCCTGCCTGCGATCCCGCAGTCGATACCCTGCAGGCCGGAGTCCCAGAGCTGCTGCAAGACGTCATCGGGTGCACCTGCCTCGCCGACGGCCTGTCCATGGGCACAGGTCCGACGGCGGCGACGTCGGCCCGCGCGCCCCGATCGGTCGATCGCGTCCAAGTGACCGACGGACCTGCATCTGCCCCGATTGGGTCTGGACTGGACATGGTCCGTGCCAGCAGCCCTTTGCGGCGCGGCGGCTGCTCGCGCAAATGGGCTACCCAACGTATGCCAAGGAAAACGGGAACGAGCACAACCAACAGGGGGTGCAGCAGGCAATGGTCGAGGCTCATCGGGGGCGCGGCACCGCGTCGGGGTGTCCTTTCCGTGCGGCTCCAGACCCACAGGGTAGTGAGGTCTGGGAATGCTCCCACATCCATGTATCACCTCGGGCTGGCGAGAGACTCGGGGCGCGAGATTGCTGGCCGCCGAGAAGTAGTCGATGGTGGACACTGCACTGCAGGTGGCGCACGTAGGGGCCGACGGCTGGAAGCGAGTGCCTGCCAAAGGCCCAACCCAGCCGCCAATGTTGATGCTCTGGCCGTCGGCGCCCCAGTCGCCCCCGATGGCCCCGTCGAGGCCGCGCGCTTTCCACGCCGCCGCGCGCTTCGCAAGCGCCCATTGGATCGAGAGGTTGGCCCCAGTAACACCGATGCCCTGAACCGCGTGCACACCGACGACAATCAGACCACCAAGGGCACCCCAGTGAACGCGAGCTGTCACTGCATGATGGGGAAAGACGACATGATCCCCATCGGGGGTATCGTGACCATCACGTTGGTAGGCGCGAGCACGCATATCCCACTGGAGCACGACGCCGCGGACGCTACTCCCGTCTCCTCGGCAGGGGCCCAGAGGCCGCGCCAACCTGCGTCGCGCGCGACATATTGAACAGCCCCCAGCCGCTGGTCGATCACCCGCGTCTCCTGGGCCACGACCACCTCGCGGGGGAAGTGCGGCAGGAAGTTGAGAAGTGGCCCGCGAGAGCCAGGGTTGACCGAGACGAGCTTGGCCGCCACCTGACAGCGCGCGTCGCCGGCATCAGGCGTGGCCGTGCTGGGGCCCTGCGCAAAAAGGATCGTGACCCTCTGGCATGCTTGCGTCGCTGCCGCCAGCTCGGTATCGAGGCGGTCCTCTCCGCCAATTGCGGAGTAAGCCCGCGGACTGGTCAGCCACCGAATTGGCCCTCCCACCGCTGTCGGGGGCCCAGCAGATCCCGCGTCGAATTGGGTCATGAATAGGCACCAGAACAGCACGATGGTCCATCCTCGCGGGCGCGCCGCACACGGTGCAGACGCGTAGACTGGAGTGCAGGTCGACGGCGACGGGCTGGAGCAGTAGTGGCCACTGGCGGGAGGCACACTGTGCTCTTCGCCAAGTGGAAGCGGACCCATGCGGCCAAGACCCAACCTAGCAGCAACGTGTGCATAATACGTGCTGCCCTGTGGGCGCCCCTCGTTACCTCTGACATTCCGTGCATGGTACTTCCTGCCAGGAAGGCCCCAGCTGACAGCCTGCACATGGTGCGCGCTGTCATCGCACGGGAGGCCGCAGCTGACATTCCGTCCATGGGACTTCCTGTCAGTTTGATGGCCGCACAGCCCGTCACAACAGGCTGGCGCATTGCACTCGCATCGAATGGTCTGTGCATGGCACGCGCCATCCGTGTGGTCGCGCTGGCAGGCGCTGCCCTCAGAAGAGGGGCTGATCGAGCCTTCTTCTTCCTCTTGCGCGCCGTAGCCGCATGCGTGAAAGAACCGAGGACACGCTTCAACGCCACCCGCATGTCTGCGTCGGTGGCCTCGTCAGGCTGCGTGAGTCCTGCCGCCTCCAACGCATCCCGCAGCTCGGCGGACTTCATGAGGTCGATGTCGATATCCATGTCGTTCCTGGCGGCTTCCTCAGCGAGGACCGGCACCTGGCTCGCGGGGAGAACGGCGGTGGAAGCAACTCCTCCTCCTTCTTCTCCAGCAGGGGTCGCGGGAGCAGGGGCAGCAACGAGCGCCTGGGCCGCCGGCAGCTTCGCCTGGGGCTCTTGGAGCATCCCGGAGACGTCGGCCGACATCTCCAGCTCCGCCTGAAGGCTGGGGCCCAAGCCGAGCTCCACGGCCAACTCGCCAAGCTGCTGGACGTTGACATTGAACTTCGGCAGCAGCTCATGGAGCGTGAACTTGCCAGTTGTGTGCGGAGGGGCTCGGTCGGCGCCCAAGCGCTGGACCTCCACCCCCAGCCGCGCGACTTCGTCATCTGCCTCGGCCAGGGAGTCCGAGAGCACCGTCAGCTCGGCAACCAGCTCGTCGATGACCAGTTGCTTCTGAGCGTGCTCCTCGCGAAGGCGCTTGGCCTTGGCACGGGAGTTCCGCCGCCTCGTGGTGAGGGAGGTGACCTGATCCTCCAAGGGGCTCCTTGCCCAAGCGTTCCTTCTCTTCGGCGAGGGGCTCGACCTGCACCAGGGCAGAAGCCACGGAGGATCCATCATAGACCTTAAGGAGCTCATTGATCTTCTTGATGCGGTCATGCTTGACCTGCTTCTCCGACGGGTAGGCGGTGCCTCCATTGTCACCAGTGGGAGCCCCATGGGGGTTACCCACTGTCCAATCCGACGCCCGCCCCGGCAGCAGAAGCATCAGCAACCCAAGGAGGAGGTGACTGGGCGACCGTGAGTTTCTTGACCATGGCCTGGAGGTCGGCAAGCTGCTTAGCCATGGAGACGGTGTCGAGCTTATCCTTACTGCAGGTTCGTGTCGTGTCGACCCTGGCGTTGGTTCCCAACACCGCGCTGGATCGTTCAACCTTGAACGATCGGCCGTCTCCGCAACGTCCGATCGTTCAACATCGACCGATTCTGGGCCGCCGTCGGCGTTCAACGTTGAACGTCGGCGGCGGGGTCGCCGCCGGTCGACACGACGCGAACCTACCGTAGATGCCTTAGGTGAGCCCATGGACATGGTCGCAGGGCCCCCTTTGGGCGTTTTGGGACCACCGTATCAGACTCCTTTTATGTACGCTGCATGTGGAGCACTGCTTGAGGTCGCCACGGTTGGTCCACGGCGTGCCGTCCCTCGTGACGCACTTCTTGCAGCGCCAGGGGTCAGCAGCGAGGCGGCGCGACATGGCGGCGCCGTGACGGATGTAAAGCCACCCAGGCCGCAGTAACCGTTTATAGTCTAGGGGTCCTGGGAACGCCACCCAGGAAACCCAGAAGCCAAAGCTTGGCTCGCAGGAGAGAAATAGCCCTTCCCAATACTTCTACCCCTGCAGACCCGACTCGGGCCAGAAAGGGCTGAAGGAGGAGGGGGAGGAGGAGAAGGAGGAGGAGGAGGAGGGGTCGCCTAAGCCCTTCGGAGAAACCCTCCACCTACAGGCGGATGTATGTTGGACGAGCAATACAACAAAACATCGAAACTCATCGAAGACTGCTTAAACATACGGAAACCATCGCCCCCATATTATGTCAGGACAATTTTTGGATGCTCCCCCTGTAAAAGGACAGGCCCGACTTCACTCTGAGAGAATGGCCCCGCGCGGCCCCGCCCGCACCCTCCCTGGAGGCTTTCCGGATGGGCGGCGAAAAGAAGCGGGTCTTACAGTGGACGCCAGTCCACAAGAAATCTTCCACAAGAAACCCAACCCTGAGACCCCAGGGCGTCCATGGATTTCACGTGTGGCAACGTCACGCCTCCCATGGCAAAACTATCGAACACACAAGCAACCCAGGACACCCTGGAGGCAAGCAGGGTGTTTCTTGGCATGGGCCTCCACTGCACACGAGATGGCACAGCGGCCTTGCGCGGTGGCCGACGCGGGACGCCAGCGCGGCAGGCCGCGATGGAAACGAGGGCACCCGCGCGCGACCTTGCGCTGGCAGGTTACGCGCCAACGTCGGCGAAGACGACCCCGTGATCTTCTGTCGCTCAGATGGGGTCCGAGCAGGATGCAAGGGCCTTGGAAGGCCACGTCGACACTCTTGCGAGCGGGGCGCGGCCAACGACGGTGGCCAGGGATGGACCGAGGAGGCAGGGATGCACGGCTGCCCTTGGGAAGGTTGCCCATCCTTGCTATGCGCTTTGACCGTAGATGGGGTCGGAGGACCGCGCCTCCTCCCCGGTGTACCGTCGATGTCAGCGATGCGTCGGCGACGGCGACGTCGGCGTGAGGGGGGCCGCGCCGGGCGCGGGCGCCCTCCGCTGGCCCTCCCTCCCCTTCCCCTCGTGTCGTCACTCGTCGTCGTTTCTCCTTCTCTTGCCACAGGGCTCCTTGATGGGCCTGTTTTCCAACACCACCACCATAAGTTGGAGGGGGAGGCGGTCCTCCTCCTCCTCCTCCTCCTCCTCCTCCTCCTCATCCGACTTATGGTGGTGGCGGTGGTGGAAAACAGGCCCATCACTCCTTCCGGCTGGCAAAAAAACAGGTAGAATCGGGCTCCACACTGAACAGCACCGCCGATGGAACGCTGACGCGTGGTGGCACGGAAGTAGGGCAACGACATCTGGACTCCACGCATATCCATTGCTCCCTGGCCAAGGCCACCGTGAACCCAGCAGCAGCGTATTATTTTTGTTTTTACAGCGCCATCTTGGGAGAAGGAGGAGGAAAGCTGAGGGGACGAATCGGACAGAATGGATGACCTCGCAAGCTGGCAAAACTGGTATCAGGGCGGTCCTGGAGACACCCATATCACAACTGAGACATCTTCAAAGTCCGGCCATGCTCTTGGAGACCTACTCCAAGCGAGCAAATACGTCGACACAGCGGGAGGGGGGCAGGAGGAGGAAGAGAGAGAGAGAGAGAGACACACAGAGAAGGAGTGGAGAAAGTAAGCATAGATTGCACCCCTAGCCCCAATCAAAGCGGGAGCGAGGACCAAATTGTTCAAGTAACTATGGAAATCTTCAGAACCAGGTAATCGCGCCCCTTCGCGGAGGAACCTGTTGTATGCCCATTCGAACTCTGAGGGGGAAAACTGGCGGTGCCGGATCCCGTTATGAAGCCGGAAGAGGGCGTAGAGGGAAAGAGCACGCTGCAGGACAAGAGAGTCGTCCTCCAACACGTCCGAACCCATGCTGGGAAACATGCAAAATAAAAAATCCAGGGCGCACTCTGGAGCCGGAGGTGGCCCGCCGAGGTGCGAGGCAGTCAGCCTGCGAATTATCGGGCATCGTGCAAAATGTGCCAGGCTGTCTTCGCCGACGCCGCAACCAAATGAGCAGGGGCCGCGATTTTGGAAACGACGCCGCGTGCACCACCCGTCGCAGAGAGTTCTCAAATATGCGGCCTGGACTCGAGGGTCCGCGCTGCGCCCAAGAACCCGGAAGGTCGTCAAAGCGCGCTCCACGCGGCGACCGGGCAAGGTCTGCAGCGGCCACCTGTCGAGCCGCCGGCGGAGGTGGACTAGAGCAACGAGCGGCGGAGTTTGCCGATACATCTTCGTCACTAGGCCCTGCCAGCCGCTACGAACGCTGAGTTTGAGATCCGTCGCTGGGGGGAGGTATGCCCGCCGCCGCAGATCGTTGTCAGCAGTTGCCAGCTTGAACACGAAGCAGTTTGACGCCCAAGACTGCGTCCATCCAGCATGGGCCAGAGAGCAAGCGGGGTGTGGCAGAACATCTCGCAAGGCTGCCGCTCTCTCCTGCACGCGGAGGCCGCCGTGGGCGGAATTGTCAAATCGCGCCACTCGGGCCTTGGCGGCCGCAGCAGTTGCAGCTAGATCCGGAAGCTCACTCGGAAAACTGAGGGACCGCAAATCCCGCAGGCAGGGTGATACCATCCAGCCCGTCGGGCCTGGTAGCAGCAACTGGCATGCCCTCTGCTCGTGTGCGGAAAAATCTGGAGGGAGGTCCTCCACTTGAGCCACACATTGTAATACTGAGCTGATGTACACCTGGTAGGCCTGCAAAGATAAAACATACGCCTAGGCCCAGGCGCCCCCAAACTCTGGCTCTTTCGATGTATTTGCGGAGCGGGGCGCCCCAGGAACTTGCCGCCCTCCCCGGGCCGACCATAAAGCCGAAACAGTTTGCGGCACTTGCTATGCGGACAGCCCCCCAATCCGGGGCCCGACGCGCCACCTCGTCCCGAACAGCCTGCTCGTGAAACCGAAAGGGAGGTACAATGACCGTCTTTCTCACATTGAGTTGGAGCCCGGACACCAAACTGAAGTCCAAGAAAAAAGTCTGGAGCGGCCGAAGACGCTCAAATCCACCCCTGATGACCATGGCGAGGTCGTCTGCCCACGCACGTGCGCACGCGGAGGGAGAAACCCTCCGTAGCCTGCGCAGCATGAGGTCTGTGGCCATGGCAAACAAAAGCGGAAAGAGAGAGGACAACCCTGACGGATGCCCCGCGTCAGCGGGAAGCCTCGGAACCGGGCTCCGCCCAGGCAGATGGAACAGAAGTTGTCCTGGTACAAAATGCGGATGGCTCGGAGGAGCCTGGCGGGCCAGCCTAACGACGCAAAGAACTGATGGAAAAAGTCGTGTTCAATGGATGGGAAACCGGCAGCAAAATCATAAAAAGTGCTAGGCCATCCTCCCCTTCCGCTGCTACGCGCGCCATCGCCTCGTCGACGTCCAGGAGGTTGGCGATCATCGATCGCCCTGGCAGGAAGCCCCGCTGGTCCCTAATGATCAGTGGCTCAATCGATGGCTCCACCACCACGCGAATGGCACTGGCGAACAGCCGATTGTCGCAGTTCGTCACGTTCAACGGCCGCACGCCGCTAGCCACGTACGCAGGGACTCCAGCTTCTGTGGAGATCTCTGGGGCTTTGGGGAGGAAGAAGGGAAGGCTTGGGAACCCAGCAGCAGCGTGTACGCCACGCCCTCCTGGCTTGGCCAGGAGGGCGTATACACAGCTCCTGGGCCCAGGAAGGGCCCTGCCAGGGGGTAGCGGATGTGTAGACGCTTCGTCGCCCGAGGAAGCGGATAGCGTGCCTCTCCGTAAGCGGCGGGACGTTGATGCTTGCAACCCGCGGCGCGGCACGCTAACCAACATCGGGAGGTTGTTCCTGCTCCTCCTGCTCCTCCTGTTCCTCCTCCTCCTGCTCCTCGTGCTACTGCTGCTGCTGCTTCTACTGCTGCTGCTCCTCCTCCTCCTCCTGCTCCTGCTCCTGCTCCTCCTCCTCCTCCACCTCCTCCTCCTCCTCCTCCTCCCCCTCCTCCTCCTTCTCATTCCCCTCCTGCTCCCCATCCTCCACCTCCTCCTCCTCCTCCTCCTTCTTCTCCTCCGTGGCCTACATGCGGGGAGAAGACAAGGGCCCCAGAGGTGCCCTTTTCCTCCTCCCCATTCAGGTCACCCGCCATTACAAGTCGACCCGCACAGTAAGGATGAGCGACGTTCCAAGGT